AAAAAAAAAAAAAAAAGACTTCTTGGTTGGACAGGCAGGGAATCAATGCATGTGTGACCTTAAAGAATCCTGTTCATATGCTGTATAATGAAAATTGTAGTACTATTGCATCCATTCATGTATGTATCTGAATGCAAAAAACATGTCTTTATTCAGTGTAGAGCTGTGTAAGTATAATAAATAAAAGAGAAATAAAAAAAAAGTGTGTGGAGGGGGTGGGGTAAAAGCAGCCAATCAAAATTCAGATGGTTGATCACATTTTGATAGCTATAATGTCAACACCATGAAAAGCTACAATATATTTGTACAGATATTAAGTATTTCACAAATTGTATTACTTACCAGTAAAGTCTACATTATCATATAGTGTCACATTTATAAATATCTTACAGGTTAAAACTGAAAAGAAATAAACATTGTGACCAATGCAACGTACAAAGGAGATTTTATTTGTGGAGGATTTTTGCAATGCTCACAGTTCATTTCATCCATCCTTTATCTGTCTGTCTGAACTGCCTTTGTGTCCCTCCTTTTGCTCCACAGCACCATTTGTTCAGTCTTGAGCAGGATACCTGGATGCCTACCTGAATCAGCAGTAAACATGCACAGTGCGCAGTAACAGAAACACACCTGGTGAACGAACAGCCGTCGAGCACCTGTCTCCAGCATCTCATAAAAGTTTGCACAAGAAAATGTGATCAAAGAACAGTATGTAATTATGTCTTTTCTTTTTTCCTCTCTTACATTGTGCTTGAATTAGATAAAGATTTAAAGGTCATGTTTAGAGATGAATTATTGTATATCTTGACAGTAGATTTTAAAGTATGAAGTTATCAGAGGTAAACTTACCACCTATTGATAGTACAAAGTTGGATTGGGCTAGCAATTTTGTCTCACAGGGATGTCGCAATCAAATTTTTTCCAAGTCTTCAAACACTGGGGATTATCTGATTCTGAGTCTGATCCAATACTCACTCAAGGTGTAGCCTACTAAATGTGACACACCTTGTTTTTCACAATCAAAATGTGAGGTTGGTCAGCTTATGATGTGAATGAAAGTTTGCCACATTGTGCCTAAAGTGCAACGCTGCAACACTAGCAGACTGAAATGGACAACACATAGTAGTTACAGTCATGAAAAGGTCGGATATTGATTGGCTTAATTTTAGACAATAACTATCCAATAAATGTGCCCGGATTGCCCCCCATACCACTCTGGATATCTCTATTGCTGTATTGATTTAGTAATTTATAATAGCAATATGGACACATAGTGTTGACCAGTGTTAGCGAAAGCCATCTAAAACTCAAAAAACAAGTTGCACCACTCTTCCAATACACTATGTTCATTCCCCCCCCAAACTCTGTATCAAGTGAAGGCAATGTGGCCAAAAACATTTGCTCTGATTTAACATACTGAAGAGGAGTCACGCAACCTCAATTATATGCCTATTGCTTTAAAACTGTTTTATTTTCAATGAAAATAATCTATGAGGGACAATTACTGTAGTGACTTAACAGGGATTCTGACATTTTTATGTGCAAGAGTGAAGAGGAATCCAGCTTATCCAGACCAATCTCCTTTCCCTCTGGCCATGTCTGCTGTGTCTTGTGGCCCTGTGTGACCACTTAAAAGACACCAGTGATGTTTACAATGTTACATTGTTAAATTTGACGTGACCATTTTGCACACTGCATGGGAGCAGATACAGACCAAATGCACAACACATGCAGACACACGTGTATTTTAAAACTCCTGAAGGCAAGGTGTTACAAAAACACACACCATTGTTTCTATTCAAGTCTTTGTCTCTGTCTGAGTTATTGGAGGTCTACTTGTTACCTCTGTAAAAGGAAGTTATGTTTTTGGTGGTTGTTGTTTGTCTGTTAGCAGGATTATGGAGAAACTAATGGCCTGATTTTCATGAAACTTGGTAGAACTGTGTAGCATGGGCCAAGAAGACGGTGTTGTGTCTTGTGTATTTTTGGTTAAATTCTGGGTTAATACCAGCATTTTATCAGCTTGCCAGAGATACAGTATATTGACCACGTAAGACTAGGGATGCTCGATATTGGCTTTTCTGCCGATATCCGATATTCCGATATTGTCCAACTCTCAATTTCCGATACCGATATCACCCGATACCGATATATGCAGGCTTTTTAATTGAATTGAATTGAATGCATACCATAAATGCAACATGGCTTTCCAAATGTAAGACACTTTCATTGTATTTAAGTACTGAAAAGAGCGTTAACGCTAGCTAGCTAAGCGCTAATCACTAGCTAAGCGCTAGCTCTGGTTAATGTTTTTGTGTTAATATTAAAATCATTCAGCTTTAAATTGCTTGTTAGCCACGGTTAGCAACCAACCAGTCTAGCGTGTAGTTGTTGTTGTTATACGTCATCTAGCGCCATCTAGCGCACCAACTGATAAAATATACTTTGGTTATAATTTGTGGAAGCCTTTCAAAGGTAATGAAGAAAACAGAAATATTAACAGACATATACCTAATAATCAAATGGCATTTTTCAAACAGAACAACATCAGGCCCAT